TCTAACTGCTTTCAAGCAGAAATATCAGTTATTTCAGAGAATTGGAATCATTGCATGTTGATTTCAGGTATAATGAAGATATTTCATAAAGTGGTTTGGGTGATCCAATCACACATTTTTCACACCACCTGAAATAGATCTTAATATCAGGTGTAAATGTGGATCTTTCATGCATGCATCGCAACAAGGAGAATATGGAATCTGTTCATTCATTCATTAATTTCCCTCTCCCTTCTTACCTTTCTTGATTTTATAGGTACTGGCCTCAGTGAAGAACCAGATAGAGCAGTGGTCAGCGAATAATAAAAATTTCCCTGAGCTTCTCACAGCTGCTCAGCACTGCTTACTGGCCAGAGAGAGTTCACTAAGAGGTCAGAGTATGTTCATATCCTTTCAGCCATGTTGTTTCATGATTTAATAAACACAAAACACTTTTACTACACAAAATATAATCATTTGTTAATTATGAAAATAAGAACGATCAATATGTGCATATTTCATAAACATGACCCACAGGGATTGCTCCTGTCAGCAGATTGTTTTCTGAAGAAATTAACAACATAACATAACATAACATAACAATATAATATAATATTCAAATGTTTGGGATCGGTAGAGTTTTAAAAAAATTACTTTTAACACATTTATTCAGCTAGCAAGAGTTTAAATAATCATACATTATTAATAAATAAAATAAAACAAACATTGGAAAAATAATACTAATCCTGAAAAAGTATATCAATATTTATACAAAAATATGAAGAAGCACAACTGTTTTCATAACTATTTTTTGACAATCAGAAATGTTTCTCGAGCAGCAAATCAGCATATTAGAATGATTTCTGAAGATCATGTGAAACTGAAGACTGGAGCAATGATGCTGAAAATACAGATTTGATCACAGAAATAAATTACATTTTAAGATATATTCATATAGAAAACAGCTAATTTAACTGTAATGATATTTCACAGTATATATTTGATAAATGCAATCTTGGAGAGCATAAGATACTTCTTTCAAAAACATTAAACAGTCTTACCAATCCCAAACTTTTAAACAATATAATATAGTATAGACCTGTGGAAGAAACTGTGTTTAGATTAAGTAAGATTAAGTTTAGATTAAGAGTAAAACAGAGTAAATCAATTCAAATCAATCAAATCATTTTGAAGTAGTTTTCCTCAGTTTCAGGGTTGCATACAGTAGCTATTGTAAGGCAGTATAAATGGTTTCATCTTTGTTTGTTCAGTTACTCTTCCTCGTATAGGTTTGAATAAAATACATTATAGAATTTTCTGGTACCGTGTTTATGTATTGTACAATGACTTCTTTTATTCCCCCCCCATTTCAATCTAGACTCTCAGAGTCCACAGAATGGAGATTGGTTCCATGGTTCTGAAGCAGACAGAATCAAGAAGAACCCGACTATCCAACCCAGAACTGTGGTTCCCTTAAACGAAACTGAGGTCTATGCCACGGTTCTTTTCACAGAGTTCCTAAAAGAGCTAGCAGCCTTTGCACAAGAACACTCCATCCTTTCTCATCTTCCCTCGGAGCAGTAGACTTTGATTGTGTTTTATGTTTGCTGTTAATGTTTCCAGGAAACTTTTGAACTTCTGACATTTTGAATGATTTTAGTTCTTGCTGAAAGCACTATAACTGCTATAAGCTCTAAATGAATGTGGGAATGTTTTTCTGACTTCTGATATTTTTGATAAGGGGTTCTTTCAGCAAATGTTTCTGTCTGTTGTGTGAACAATCCTTGAAACTTCCCTCATTTGATTGATTATGCATTACCAAACCTCATTTCCCGGCAACCAGC